ACCAGGCGTTACAAACATCCTATATATCAGGATACCGATCTAACCGATCTCTATAGCATAATAACATACTATCATATAACAGGATATTCAATCCAATGGGCTGGCCTTGGTGCCTTCGCCCCACGAGTACAGTAAGGAAGACTCGCCTGAATCGAAGAACCTTGAAAGAATATGTATGGCCCGATTTTGCTTCTAAACGACATGTTGACTCATTCCTAATCTCTTAAACGACGTTAAAAGATGATAAAATCGAGTTTAATATTGCTATAAAGATCGATTGTATAGGATAAAAGTTTCGGGTTGTCATAGGCCCGTACTACTGAAAGCACAAGATCTATACACAGGACAAGGAAGGACTTGATGAATTCGAGAAACTTCGGGAGTGTGAACCTTTTTGTGTGTATACTAATTGTTTGTGTATTATGTTTCAGCATGGTGGTGACACGCAACAGAGCAGAAGGTTCAAGATTTGGATCTGGTTCGGGCTCGGTTACCGAACCAATTAACGAGGGTCTGCGAGAGTTCATCACGTTTGATATTACGAGAGGCCACCTGATGCGACCCCGGTGATTTTCGGGTCGATCAAGGAGTGTACCATCGAGTTGACGGAGGATCGTCTCCGGATCTTTAGGGTCGATCTATGATGCATGTTTTATTGTATATTTTACTTACTCAAGTTTTAGATTTATAAAACTTAATTTTCTCTCAACTGGACTATTAAACACACTAGGAAGTGTACCTAATCGTGTAATAGTATAGTTGTGGTAAGAACAAGTGTCGAACTCAAGGAAAAGTGTTTTAGCTATTTTTATCTGCTACTAACTAATTAACAAATAAAATTAGAAAAATGTTTTTTTCTCTAGTTTTGCAAGGCTAGAAACTTAAATTATCAACTAACTAATCACCATTAACTAATGAAGTAATTACTAAAAACTAAAGCAAATAAAACAAATATGATTTAACCAAGGTAATTGAGATACTTTCGTTTAGCTTCATATTTATTTGTTATTATTATTGATTCATGGAAGTGCAATGGATTATAGTTTCATTGGTTACGAATTCCTAAGATGACCAAATTAGTGTTCACTAATTTAATCCTTTAACAAACAAGCTCATTCATACGGTGATCAGGCGGACAAACTAACAAGTTTACTAGTGTTCAATTTGTGTTAATTAGACTTATAAATAATTGGTCAAATTGGTTTATTAATTCAATTCAATATATGATTGGTCGTCATATATTAACTCCTACACTTATTTACCCACTTTTCTATTTAACCCTAGGTTTTATTCACAACTCTAGTCCTACAATTTTGCAATTCACGAGATCATAAGATTCAAATTCAATTAAGAAAGATGGTCATACAAACTTAATTAAATTCAACAATAAATAGAGAAAGCAGTTATCACAAGCACGTGAGGTTCTTTAATAAGCTAGATCAACAAATAACCAATAAAACTAAATCCAATCCATAAATCAAGTCATATTGAAGCAAACAATCCTAGGCTAAACGAAAGTCATGAGGTTTAGCCCATGATTTCAGCAACTAAAGTCATAAAAACGAAATTCATATGCATAAACATGATTAACTATAATAGAAAGTCGTAATTAAGAGTTTTATTGCCTTAATGCTCTCAATTCCCAAGCTACAATCGATTTCTTCACTTCCAAGCTTTAATTCAGAACCTTGGTCTTCAAAAATCGTCAATAGCTCTAGGCAAAAGTTCTCAATTCGGAGGATAATGGCAAGTATTTATACTTTCCCGAAAAACAGACCACCACGTTGTGGTCTTCGTGATTATTCCGTATTCAGCAAGTCTTCGAAGTCAATCGGGAAAGGTCAAAATACCACGTCGTGGTGATGTCACCACGACGTGTTGAGTATATTTTTCTTCATTTAATAATCTTTAATCAAATTCCTTAGCTTCCAACTTCCAGCTTCCTTTCTGCTCCAAGCACATCTTTTACCCCTACAACACAATATATAACAAATTAAGTACCTTTTGTTCTATAAAGGGTATGAAAGTAATTAAGATATTAAGATATTAAGATATGATATACAATTATATGTATAGATATGCACATATCAAAATACCTCATATTTATTCTTTGAGTGCCCTCAAGTAAATTGATTTTATTATCTTACCAATATCACATAGAACAGTCCATTTCAAACCCAACCATTATCCCAAGACCGCAATTCATGTATTTGTGTCTATAATTCATAAAAACCTCACATTCCTAAATACTCACAATCAATATGAACATTCACCCATTAACTTATACAACACTCATTTTTTCAACCCTCCAAATCCATCCCCATAAACCTTTCTTAACCTCAAAGTATTTTTGGTTAAACTTCCAAACATACATAATCTAGAAAAATTACAACTCTTGATAGCTCCTTGGAATTCATCGCTTCTTTGATTTCTTTGAAATAAAAAATTACAACTTTAGTTGTTGAAGCTATAGCTTGTTGTGCACATGCAATAATTGATCATTGATTTCTTTGAATTCACCACCTTTTTGTTTGATTTTTGGTATCTTCCACTTTTTGGTATTTCTTCGAAATTTTTGATCTTTGAATTTATACTTTGACAGCTCCACAGTTCTGCAACTTTTCGGCAATTTCTCTTTTTTTTTACATGTCTCACTATTTTTTTTTTCACTCAAAGTCCTTCTCTAATTTTAATGAGCTTCAAAAGCTTAACATACAAAACAATTGACAAATTCACACTCTATTCTTTATGAAAGTAGTTGAGGTTTCTTGAATTTGATGCGATTTTTGATGTATGTATAAATGACATCTTTGATTTCTAAGACACTTAGGTGGTGTTTGTTTTGGAAGTGGTAAAATGTCTTTAGTCTTTGTCCGTATCTGCGACAGAAGACGTGAACCAAAAGTATTTTTCTATGCCTTCATAGAAGAAGTGATAAAGAAGTCTTTTTGAGTTCTTTTGTCTTCCAGAAAACAAACAGTCTTTTTGGTAAACATCTACCCGCCCGCAGATGTAAATGCCCAAAAAGTTTTTTTGCCAAAAAACAAACGATCCCTTAGATTGCATGGGGTCAAGCCTACTCTAAATCTATATCGATAATCAACAGTCAACACCAGAAGAAAGAACGCCGTTATCTTCTCTACACCTAACCAAAAGTTCCGATATCTCCACCATGGTGGAGTAGCCTTCTCTTCTTTACTCTCAACCACAACTTACGATGGCTCAACTGTCGAAAACTTAGTTTAGAATTGTGATATTTGCTAAACCACACATACTATTTTTCTGAAATTTAGCCTTAATTATATATTCTTAAAAGAAAATAAAACTTTCTCCCATTTTATCATTCTACCTTTTTTAACGATGAACATGGATAATGTATATATTTTTTTTCTTATCTCGTCCTTTAATTTTAACATTTTATCGGGACATTGATGCTCTTAAAAAAATTCAATCGTTGAAATTAGCCCTGATCTGTGGCAAATGACAACCCATGATCCGCTGGAGTCATGGGAATCCGAACCCAATAAAAAAAAGACTAAACTGCACAAATGGTCCCTGTGGTTTGCTCAAAATTGCCACTTTGATCCAAAAAAGTTTGGACTAGCACCAGAGGTCCAAAGTTTTCATTTTGTTGCTTGTTTGGTCCAATCTGTTCTGATTTTTTTCCAAATGACGGATTTGCCCCTGTTAATATGTTTTTCTCTTTTTTCTTAATTGTTTTTCTGATTTTCAGATTTAAAAAAATAAAAAAATAAAAAATAAAATTAAACCTCTCTCTCTCTCTCTCTCTCTCTCTCTCCAACACCACACACTACCCTTATATCTCCCTCATTGGATCGAAAACCACTCCACCAAGCAACCCTCCAACCTGCTGCCTTACATCTTCCCTCTTCCCCTCCGATGACTACTGCCGACATAAGCAAAAAAGGAAGCAACCGCTAGGCTGCCGGGCAGCCTCCTGCCACCATCGACCACCTCTGTTATGCTGTTGCTCTTGCCATTTTTTTGTGTGAATCGCAAAGGGCCAAACCGAGGAATCTAATGACCCGGCATTTTTTTTCCTTTCATCATCTTCACCGGAGAGGATGTTCAGTGGCGATGATAGAGAAGAAGCGCATGTTGCAGGTACGCTATCATTGTTGCTCCAATTGAGGGTTTTCGAGCCCTAATCACACCTAAATCAAAGTTTCTGGTACTCTCTCCACCGATTAGGGCTTGAAACGATTTCGACTTCATAACTTTGGGTTATTTTATATCTGATTTGGGTTTTAACCTAACACAAAATACAGACGAGGGAGAATGCAAAAGTGTATTTGAAAGGAGGAGGTAGAAGGTGAAGGTTATCAACGGCGCACCAGATCCACGCACTGCTTACTTGAGGAGGTTGTTACCGAGGATTGAAAGGCTGTCGAAGAACGATAACTTTAAAGCGAAGGCAACATTGTTGACTGTCGTAGCGAGTGTGATCAGCGTCGGTGCTGCTTCGAGTCAGATAATTGTGAGGAATCTGGTGACGGTTATGGTTGATTTCGTTGTCAAAAGTGAGGATTGAACTGCGAGGAAGGCGACAACAGAGGCGCTTGAAAAGTTGGCTTTGGTGGAGACAAATTTATTGCCGGAGTTCAAGGGTCCTTGCTTGAAAACATTTGAGGCGAAAAATTTGTGAATCAAAATTAAGTGGTGATTATGTGGATTTTCGTTGAGAGAGAGAGAGAGAGGTTTAATTTTATTTTTTATTTTTTTATTTTTTTTTAAATCTGAAAATCAGAAAAACAATTAAGAAAAAAGAGAAAAACATATTAAATCCGTCATTTGGAAAAAAATCAGAACAGATTGGACCAAACAAGCAACAAAATGAAAACTTTGGACCTTTGGTTTGGTGTTAGTACAAACTTTTTTGGACCGACAATTTTGAGCAAACCACAGGGACCATTTGTGCAGTTTAGCCTAAAAAAAATCTACACTTCGGAATATTTTACTCGCTTTTTAACTTCTAGGGCGGGAGATAACTCGCAAAATCGAATCACTCTCATATGCCAAACTAGCCTTGCATTTCACCAATCGAATCCATTCCTCTTGGTGCGCTCAATCTCACATCTACTTTTCTATTTCCCTTTCTCTAAATTTTCCATGTAAATTCCTCCTTTTGCGTTTCCCTTTCGCTTTATTGCAACCATTTGGAGCTATATCTTGTTGTGCACATGCAAAGATCGTTGTTTCCAGTCCGGGTTTTCAATCCTTAAACCCTGTTTTATAAATCAGATCCTATTTTTGCATCTCTTTCGTTGATGTAAACTGTGATTTAAATTTCTTGATACTTGCACGGTTTTAGAAGTTCGAACAATTTAGTTTTACACTTGATTGTAGTTTTCTAGAGAATCACGATCGAGGAACAAACTTCGTAGGGGAACTAGGGCTAAAGGGTAGATTTGAAAAAAAAAAGCTGAGTAATTTGCATGTTGGTGAAGATTAGCAGTTTAACGGTGGTTATTTTTGTGGCAAAGAGTTGTTGATGTTTACCTCAAAATATCATGCTATTATTATTGTATTGTTTTTTGTTCTCTGATTTGAATTTTGTCATGTAACAGTGTTTTTCATAAACTGCAGGTTGTAAAAGCTAGATATCGATACACACAATGGGTTACATAGGTGGTCATGGCATCAATGCACTGCATAGATACAAGTACAGTGGAGTTGATCACTCTTATCTCGCAAAATATGTCCTGCAACCTTTCTGGACTCGATTTGTTACTTTCTTCCCTCTTTGGATGCCGTAAGTAACACTGTAGCACTCAACTTTTATTTGTGTTTTTTTTTCCTACAACAAAAACTGTTAATGATTTATTATATAATTACATTTATTAGTTTTATTGGAGATGAACGCCTGGTTCATGTATGCATTTCTGATACAAACTCATTGTTTTTTGTTTTCTTGCATGTTGTGTTGTGGATACCTCAGGCCTAATATGGTAAACATGCCTTTCCAATCACAATCTAAAGAATTCTCCCTTCATTTCCTTCACTAAAATTTATGTTTCTCGTTTCAGATTACACTCATGGGATTCATGTTCTTGCTCATATCTGCAGTGCTTGGTTATGTGAGTGAACGAGTTTGATCATTTTTACTACATGACATCTTACCTACTCTTCATTTTGTATTCTCATGTTCATTATGGCTATAAGACATATTTATGAGGCCATTTCTATACATTAGTGAGAGTTTTCAGTTTTACTGGCATACTTTTCCTTCCTATTTTGGCTTAAAATGTATGTCACATTTACTTGAACAGATATATTCACCACATTTGGACTCTGCTCCACCAAGATGGGTTCATTTTGCCCATGGACTACTTCTCTTCTTGTATCAGGTTTCTTTTAGATATATTAACCTCAGAGTCAGTTCTTATAACTTTTGGTATAAATGTTCATTGATTTACTTCCAATCTTCTCAATCTTTATACTAGACCTTTGATGCTGTTGATGGAAAACAAGCTAGAAGGACAAGTTCTTCCAGTCCACTTGGAGAACTTTTTGATCATGGATGTGATGCACTTGCATGTGCTGTATGTTCTCTTTAATCCTCAATTCTTCTACTCCTTTCTTAAATGATCTTTTTCAATTTATAGTTTCTTGATTTTGTAATTCAGCTAGAGGCTCTGGCTTTTGGAAGCACTGCTATGTGTGGCAGAAATACATTTTGGTTTTGGGTGATTTCAGCTGTTCCATTTTATGGTGCCACATGGGAACAGTAAGTAGTCCTCTTTTCCATTTTATGTCATTTTTTTAAGAGACTGCTGAGTGCTGACATGTCATGTTTCAGCTATTTCACCAACACCCTAATCCTCCCAGCAGTAAATGGGCCTACAGAGGGTCTCATGCTTATATATGTGGCACATTTCTTTACAGCTATCGTTGGTATGTAATGTAACATTTTTCTTTTTATCCAATATTAAATAAATTATTTGCTTAAACGATCGAATCATTAGATATATCATAATTTCAGGTGCACAGTGGTGGGCTCAGAGTTTTGGAGAGTCCATTCCCCTCTTAAGTTGGGTTCCATATATAAATGGTAAAATAATATTTGATCTCTAAACTTTAAAGTAAGTAACATCATAGAGTATAAATTTTGCTGCCTTTTTAATTTGATCATTTTATTGTATTATACAGGAATCCCTACCTATGGAGCTGTTTTGCTGTTTATGATAGTTTTTGCTGTTATACCCACTGTCACATTCAAGTAATTAAATGTCTTCATTTCATCATAGAACAATAGTTTATTTTGATCTGTAAAGTCCAAAGTAATATCAATATATAAATTAACACAGGAAAATACCCTAATTTTGATATTACTTGCTCTATGTTTTACAGTGTTCAGAATGTTTGTAAGGTTGTGGAGTCTAGAAAAGGAAGCATGATAAATGCCTTGGCTATGGTAATCATTTGCTTTTGTGCATTCTATTATTTTTGTTAATTTTTATTAAGAGGCTTAATGCTTTTTTTTTTTTTTTTTTTTTTTTTTTTATGCCAGCTTGTCCCATTCTTTGTGCTATTGGTAGTAGTTATTCTCTGGTATAGACCTCCTCTTTATATCTTACTTTCTTTTTTCTTTAAAGTCTCGGGTTTGGGTTATTTATATTATTATTATTAATTTAATGTTTTCAGGGATTGTATGTCTCCATCGAATTTAATCGACAACTACCCACATATGGTGGTGATGGGAACTGGACTAGCTTTTGGATTCCTTGTGGTGATTATTACTAAATGGAACTCATTTTTCTTTTAATCAACTTCTGATTTCTGAATAAAAATAAGAATTTTTATTTGTATTTTTGTTGGCAGGGAAGGATGATATTGGCTCACTTGTGTGATGAACCCAAGGGATTGAAAACCAGCATGTGCATGGTAAATTCTTTTTTAATTTCTGTATATAATTTCAACAAATCAGCTGAATTTTAATAACTTGATTTATGTTGTTAATTTGCAGTCCTTGCTTTATCTCCCACTTGGAATTGCAAATACGATCACTGCAAGGTTAAATGTTGGGTATGTATGCAGTCATTTGGCTCAAAGTAAAAATCAGGAACCCAATCACTTTTTATCTTTATCTAATTGTTGATGATGTTTTAATTTGATGCAGAATTCCATTGGTTGATGAGAAATGGGTTCTTCTTGGTTTCTGTATATACACAGGTATGGTGGTTATCTTCGTCATTTGAACCCCTTGCAGTAATTCTGTAATGATTTTACAGGAATGAAATTTTATACATATCGTGGAAAAATAAATGCTAAAAAAACATTGTCTTGTTTCATCATGTTATATATTCACTTGTTTTTTTTGTGATCTTTTGCAGCTGCGCTGTATCTGCACTTTGCCACGTCAGTTATTCATGAAATAACAACAGCTCTTGGAATTTACTGTTTTAGGTAACAAAACCTCCATTTTTTTTTTACTTTTATCTGTTGTAATTGTTGACTTTTTGACGCTAATCATATGATATGGCTAAAATTATCAGAATCACAAAGAAGGAGGCTTGAGACATGTTCATGAAGTTCACACGTGGGAATGGTGCCTTGAAGATCCTTATGTCTTTGTTTGTAACCATAACATATCATGTCCTATCTTACAAATGTAGTGTAGCATTTAGATGCAGACTTTTTACTTCTTTTTTACTTTATCATAATGCGGTTTATTTGTTTTTCTTTTTAGAAATTTTAATTATAATTAGCTTATAGGGTTTCTTTATGTGTTTTTTAATATCATATTTCTCATCTCATCTCTAGGACTATTGTTCCTTAATTTGGATTCTGTATTGTCTAAAGTTTATTGAACCCAAACTGAAAACTGGAAACAGTTAAAAAACAAGAACATGATAAAATCTCGAAGAATTGATTTATAAAGATTATGAAATTGATGTGATGTTCTTTATTAGTAAACGATCAGCGAGTCTTTCCAACCATAATAATTTCCTTTTCATGGTTTGTATAACTTGGTAAAAGTACATCATATGTATTAAATGTAGGATGATACATATTATTCTACTGTAAAACGAGATAATACAACACGCATGGACCTTAATTTCTATGTTACTCAATTGATCACATTGTGATGTGATATTATATTGTAATAAAAGGTTAATTGCACAAAATGTTGGAAACTTTGGTTATGATTGTTTAAGATGACAACTTAGGCCATCTCCAACCCTATATATATATTTTTTACATTATATTTTACACTAAAAAGAATATTTTTTACTATATTTTTTTGAATTTATATTTTATATAGATTTGTTAAACGCATACTTCACCTAATTAGTTCTTAACATATTTATGTATATTTTTTATAAAAACTTTATAAATTATATTAATTACAAAACTATAACCAAATTAATCATTCATATATTATTAATTCAATTAAATGTTATTTTATTAAACTGACATTTGTTAATGAAGAATGTTACATAAGTTCAAAACATTAAATTAAGTTTTATATTTATGACTAATTAATATTAATTTAATATATAACATAAATTTAATTTAACTTTTATAATTATAATTAATTAATATCAATTTAATATACAATTAAAATTAAATAACGATAAAAAAAAGACTAAAACTGACACAATTTTTGCACCATTGCATCAAATTTAGTGTTATACTAATCATTTACTCCAAAATTGTTTGATAAATAGAGTGTTATACTATTCATTTACTCCAAATGAATTGATAAATAGAATGAGGCCGGCCAAATGACATATATCCTATTTGTATCATGAGTTAAGAAAATATGTCCCTTAGGCAAAAGTTAAGGGTTCAAGTCATTTTTAGTTTTATTTAATTTTGTAATCCACATTTGACAATAAACTTGATGCTAACTTATAAATGATCTATGACCAAAATAAAAGATTTAAAGTCTATTGTTATAATTTTGTTTTGATAGTTTAGGAATGGGCTTTTGAGAGTTTTAAGAAAAACTCGAATAAGAGGAAAACTTTGTTGAGAGTACCAACAAAAACTTTTATTTTAGAACAATAAGCTCCTAATTCAAAAATTACTTCATGTAACTTTTTAAAAACTTTTATTTTTTCTTTTTAAAACTTATTAAAAGCACACTAACAAGCTGTTTGAGACCTAATATTGGGAAGTAATTTTATAAAAAAATCTCCGTCTTATTTGTCTTAAATCGCTCCAAAAATAATATTGTTTCAGGAAGCTCAAAGAAGATCAGAGAGTCCAAAAGACATCCAAACACTTTATTTGAACTACTTGTTATCCGCCTAACATGCGGTGTTTCCTCAATCTAATAATGATTAGAAATGTCAATATACCACCATGTTGGCTTCCAACTATTTTTGTTCGACATATCTTTAGTTATTTTCTTTAGAAGAGAGTTTGCGACGTATCTTTAGTTATTTTATTCAGAAGAGAGTTTCACGGATAAAGAGGGTAAAAATGTTTATCTTAAATAATAAAATGATAATATATCAACTTCACATGGTACGTATCATTTGTATATAATATCGTCAAAATAAGTAATGGCATGTTTCTTTTAGCTTCGTATGATACTTTATTAAATTGTAGTCACTTGGAGAGTTGGAGGCAAATGAATCAATGTCATGATGCATGTGGACAGCATCATCACCACATCACTTCACTTCACTTCACTTCTAATACAAGTCCCCTCTGCATCTTCCACTTTTCACTTTTACGCCATATTCCACACACAAAAAGCCATAACCACCACCCATCCCCCATCATGCATATCCATTCTCCACCTTTCCCATTTACAATTTACATCAGTACACACACAAAATACATGTAGAACCTATACTTAAATAAAACAAAAACATAATACAAAGTCACAAAAGATCTTAATATATACATGTAAAAAAAAAATCATCCTTTGGAAGTGTCAATCAACACCTAATACCTTTTAAAGAAAGGTGCGATGGTGTATTATTGAAGTTCACTTTCTTAAACCATCATACGACTGATATGATCAAAACCCACCAATGCAAATTACCCTATAAATTTTCACTCTTTCATCCAACATTATACCCCATGTCCCCATGGCTATAACCATGTTCCCTAAAATCACACTTTTCATCGCTACTTTCATCTTCTATTCCACCATCAACCAACCATCGTTGGTTTTTGGCTCAGACCCCGATCCACTTCAAGACTACTGTTTACCCTCGCCTCACACCCACCTCTGCAAAAACTCCTCATCCATCACCGTTGACGACTTCGTCTTCTCCGGCATAAAACATCCCGGAAACTTCACCAACAAATTCTCCGGGGTGCCTGTCTCCACCACCGTGTTCCCGGCGCTCAACACTCTCGGAATGTCGCTTGTCAGAGCTGACTTTCAGGTCGGTGGGATTAACGCCCCCCACTATCATCCTCGAGCCACGGAAGTGGCGTATGTGCTTGAAGGGAAGCTTTATTCTGGATTCGTCGACACAGGGAACAAAGTGTTTGCGAAGGTGATTGAGAAAGGAGAGGTGATGGTTTTCCCTAGGGGAGTGTTGCATTTTCAGATGAACGTTGGGGATTCGCCGGCCACCGTTCTTGGGAGCTTTGACAGCCAGAATCCAGGGTCGGTGAAGCTTCCGGCTGCCTTGTTTGGATCTGATATTGACTCAGAGTTGTTGGAGAAGGCGTTTGGATTGAAGAGTAAAGAGATCTCCAAGTTGAAGAAGAGATTTGGGATTAAAAAAGAAGAGTAGGTATAAGGTATGAGTTTTAGCAATGTTTCTTATTCTTTAATTACATTTTTTTTCTTTAATATTTGAATAAATAGAATGGAGAATTATTGATGTAAGTTTAAGGAATGTTAATTTTGTTGAATGTTTCATAATATAGATTCTTGATTAAAATGTCTAATATCTTGAGACAAATTCAAGCTCACTGGATTCCAAATGACTACGAATTAATGATTTTCCACGCCTTTAAACGTGTTAATGAGTTAGAAAGATGGATCAAGGATGATTTGGTACACAATACAAATAATTGATCAGATATGATAATTACCGAAAACAATTACAGATTGTAATTTTTTTATCTGTCGAATTATATTAAAAATAGTAAAAAGCTAGGATTAAAATAAAATAAAATAAAAAAATTGCATAAAGATAAACCAAAATTGGATATTTTAACAAATAAATTTAGTTAGACTTTTAGTTTTCATTTCCTATGAACAAATCAACTAAACGAGTGGTGTCGTGTACCTTCTCTCCAGTTGGTTATGAATTTAAATAAAAGGAAACCGATTTTCTCTGTCATTTTTTAAAAATTAATATCAATATTAATTTTGTCTACCAGATTTTTATCTATATATAAAATAGTCAAACTGTTCAACATTTTTATGACATCCAAACTTAAGTAATTCTTTTGTAACTTCAACTTTAAAAAACTTTTCTCTACAGACGCTAGACGCTACAATGTTAAGAATGGTTAATAAGATTTTATATGCATTGAAATTCTAATGATTATGATTTAGGAATTGAGATGACATAATAATCTGATTCATTATAGTGTTGCTTGATTGCTTCATAGGTCGCCAGTTTAAATTTTTGTCGATTCGATTTCCCCAATTTGGTTGCAACTATCTTCTTTATGAACGACAATAATTATATGTATGTTATTGTTTCTTCCTAAAATTTGAATATTTGAATTTGGTTCTTCTAAAAAATAGACTAGAAATTATATACTAATGTTACACAGTCTATAAAACTTTTGGGTCCTAGATGGTCGCTCCTATCGTCCATTGTCTAGATTGGGCCTGCTCGCAAGCTATACAAGGATGATCTGCTACTTCTGAAATATTTGAACAAATCACACATAACACAAAGGGCAAACCAACACCTCTACTAACCAAAATAATTCTAGTACGCGACATATTTAATCTTATTCTCAAAGCTAAAATAATAATTTTCGTTGGAGGACATCGATTCCACCTAGTAAGAAAAACCTCATTAGACAAATTCACCGGTGTTGTCACGTAGAACCGACTATATATAAAAAAAACTATAGATTATCCTTTTTTTAGCTATAGCTCATGTGTAATCAACTTCCTGCTAAAATTATATTAGTATATTTGGAACCATTACAAAAAAGCTTTGAATTATATGGTTCCTAATAGGGTATATGTAACGACCCAAAATTCATAAGTAAAAATTTTATTTTTAAATTCATCAATTCAAACATCACATGTCTCGAAATCATCCAAAATACAAACTATCACAAAATATTAGAGTAAAAGAGATCATAAATGCGGAAATCATGAGGGGGAATGATGTTGTGCCATCACGCCGGGCCATTCATTTTTGTACCGGAAGTGTCTGAAACCAAAAATATATCTGTAAGCACAAAGTTTAGTGAGTTTTCCCAAAATACCACATATTCATACACATAAATATAACAACACATGATTGTGCCAGGTCCGTAACAACCCCATGGAATAACAAATGGTTGTGTCGGGTATGTATCAACCCCCGAGTCCATAATGACTCCGAGCCCATATTAACTCCATGCATATATCATACGATCACATCAGTAATAGTCATACAAATGCATACATTCTACACATACAAAACAATGGGTCGACCTTGGTGCCTTCGACCCACTAATGTGGTAAGAAGACTCGCCTGTCACACCCCAAAACCGGAACAGCGGAAACGTTCGGGGGTGGAGGACGTCATGTTTAGTATCACAAGATATGCATTATAGTAAGCAAGTAATGAACAACCATTTCATTAGAAAGAAAGTGTTTACAAGGTGTGTGTTCACAAAACATAGAATACATAAGCAAATAACAAAACAAGACTTGAAGCTACTATGCTCCATCTTCTGAATTCCCAACACGAGTACATGTCTACTAGGCTCCTGAGAATACAAGTTATTTGAAAGAGTTGATCAGCAATTAAGCTGGTGAGTTCATAAGATTTTAGTGATGTAAGTAAGTTGTAGAAAGTTGTTGTAAAATGTCGTTGAAAATTTTAGTTGTAAAATGTAGTAAGTTGTAAGTTCTGTTTAGAAAAGTTCGTCTGTTCCTCTAGAAAATCCTATATTTCCTACTTTAATGAAAGATAAGTAAAAATGACTCTACAATCCTTTCTATGAGTACTAAATGGATACAAGTTATATAAAACTCAGAGTAAACAAACAATCGACTGTGCGCATCTGCCCTAAGCCCACAACCAAACAAGGAACAAAAATTAAGGCGGATAGCACACATCCCATTGGTTGTTAGATCATTGTTGTATATAACCATGGTGTATTCACTTGTTACTCATGGAGTTAATTGTAATGGTTCCTTTATATTTAATGAAAAAGATTCTTTAAGAGAACCCTTATTTCTTATAATAAAATGGTGACCACAGTGATTACTTCTATAATCACTTAGTTTATACTGGCTATATATGATCTAATATCGAATAGAAAGTTAATTGGGTGAATCTGCCCTAAGCCCACAACCAAACAAGGAACAGGAAGTAAGGCGGAAAGCACACATCCAACTACCTATTGGGTATTAATGATATATAATCATGATGTATAAACTCATGTATTATAGAGTTAATCACCTAAGGTCCTTTAAGTTTATACTGGTTTAATAAAATGGATTAAACCCTTTACTGGTAAGTTTCTAGTTTTGTATACCAAAAGTTCTGATTTGGAAAGTATGTTTTGTACTAGAAAACTGTGCATTGACTCTGTGTCCTATGACTTGACCCATACCTGGTACTCTTATGATGACTTAATGTATATTGAGCATTTATATATCTAGAATCGAATAGAAAATAGACTGGGTAAATTCGTTCCAAGCCCACAACCAAACAAGGAACAGGAAATGAAGCGGAGAGCACACATCCTATTACCTGTCGGATCCTATTGATATATATATCCTTTGGTGTATACATTAAGGAATCATAAGGTTAACATTATGGTCCTCTCTACTAAACGTAGCCTTCTACCAAGGCATCTAATGTTATGTGCGTTTTTTTCTTGCATGAGTTGTGTATTTTCCCAAGTGAGACTATCATTAACCAAAAATATAGGTTTTACATTACCGTTTATTGTGAGAAGATCACAATGTGAATGAAATGGGGAAATAATAAAGTACTGTAGTGTTGTATTATAGTAACTACTGCTGTACTTTCTACCTTAAACCAATTGTTATTTAAGGTATAATGTGATATGATTGCACCATACTATTGACTAATAACACGACGATGAAAGACGTCGGAAGGAATGACATTTGGCACCCGTAGACTTGCAAATCCCACTGTAGCTAACAGCAAGGTGTAGGATAGTCAATCCAGTATATTTCTATACCCAAATTCACGCTCCCCCTCTAGGAGATTCTGGCTGCAAATCGAACCATGACAGGTGATGCCATACCTCGAAACAGTGATTCACATTTATGTTATAGTATACTTGTATATGTTTTGTATGTACTAGCTGTATTGTATGTTCTCTCTGTCTAGTATGTATGTATGTTCTGTTTTTTTTTCTCATCATAGTATGTTCTCTTGTATAATGTATAGTATGTACTAGCTGTATTGTATGTTCTCTCTGTCTAGTATGTATGTATGTTCTGTTTGTTTCTCATCATAGTATGTTCTGTTTCTCATAATAGTATGCTTGACTCATGTATGAATTGACTCTTTGTATGCTTCATTGTACTAGAAGTAATGTGTAGTGTCTTCCTAAACTATACATATTATAGTTTACTAATGTTTTACTTGAACTGTTACTGAAAATACTCATTTATCTACTAAGTTATGCTTGCACTTTAAAAACAGAGTTTTGTAAAACTATAAAGTACATAACTTTAAAAGAGTTTTTGAAATGTTTTGATCACTTATAAAAGACATAAGCAATCTTTTGAAAGATGTTATTAACAAACAATTACACAATTATCATTGTGTTCAACTTGTATTCCCCCCCTTAAAAGCATTTAAAACAGTTAAAAGATTCATTACGGGGTATGAACTCACCTGATGTGGGTGATTCAACGAATACGCGTGTAAGGATGAGAAGTTCCACGAAAGAAGTCCCGAGACACAACAAGTCCTAAATGACATATATTGGCATGAATATAGTGTTTATAAGCAACTATATGAAAGGAAACACCTTCCGGGACTAGGAAACACTTTGACCAAGTGTTGGAATCACATGTGATTCATCAAAGGAAAGTGGAATGGTACTACTATGAGTTTACTACCATGGGTTTACGGCCAAGGGAGTTTACGGTCGTAAACTCATGGTCAAACATGCATAAGTGTGTGTTTGAAGGCTAAGGAAGCTTGAGGGACTTTTGCTCTACACAAGGGTGAGAAAGACCAACTCAATAGTGAGTGTTGATGAGTTTACGGCCAAGCAAGGAGTTTACAGCCATAAACTCATGGTCATTGTGCATTTGAGAGTAGTTTAAGGTCCTATTTCCATCAAGGAAGGGTTCTAGGTCACAAGCTTTGCATCTAGGAGGGTTTATGGCCAAAATGGCACCCTTATAGGGGTTTACGGCCATGGGAGATGGCTTGGCTGTAAACTCCTTTTGGTCTTGCATTCTTGATGTTTTCAAGGCTCTAAGCATGAGTCCTAACTAGATATCAAGTGTAGGGAAGAGTACTTACGATATAGAGGCTTGAAATGGTTGATTTTTGGCCAAGAACACTAGTGTGTGTTCTTGGTGTTTCTTGAAGATCTAAGAAAAGATGATTTATATGGATGAAATCAATGGATGAAGCTAGTTAAGAACGTGTATCAACTAATCAAAGGATAGAATACTTACATATATGAAGATCTAGGATGAAAAGTTGGATGATACTTGAGAGGATTTGAAGAAAATCGGCCAAGGAAAGAAAAGAATGGGAAAAATGGCTAAGTTTTATATATATATAGAGGTGAGTTTATGGTCCCCTTGAGTTTATGGCCGTAAACTCTTGGTAACTTGGCCGTAAACTCCTCTTGATGGAGTTTAAGGCTTGCATGCTATACTGTGGTTATAGCAGGTACTTCCTAACACTCATTCCTTGAGTGTATTAGGCTTAAAACTCCTTAGAATGACCTTTAACCAGGCTAGAACTCATTACCAATGAGTCTGACACTCAGTTGAGTTGACTGACTGAGCTTTCAAAGCAAAAAAATTTCGGGTTGTCACATCCTCTAACTGAAGATAACTGAATCGCACACTCGAGTTGTTGTTATCACGACTCCTCACACGAATTATAACCCAATAATAACCCTAATTAATAATCGAGATTAATCCATAAACGAAGGTCTAATTCATCATTTATCTATCTAAGGGGAAAAGACAATTTGCCCTTCCCATTCATGACTCAACTAGTCAAGGCCCAAAAATGGCCCAATTGGGTTTTCTGGTAGTACGCCCTGCATACTACCTATTACGCTATACGTACAACTCTTGATGCGGAAGGATTACGGGGCAACGACCCAGTACACGCAGCGTACTCAAGGTTACGCCCGACGTACTCTTCAGAAGTCTATACCTTCTATTAAGGTCTTAATGATTTAAGACTTAACGTCCAAACTTCAGATATAATTCCAATAAATGTCTAAAATCATAAAGTTGTAACCTTTATGCCTTTGCATGGAAAAAGGAAGCTTAATCCCAAAACCCTAGCTTCTAATATCACCAAAAACTACATAACTCGTGCATGGATGAGAGGAAAGATCCAAGCTTGCATTTTTATGACACTATATACCCTAAAATGTCTGAAATGGCAGCTCAAAAGCTCTGGAGTATTCCATACTCATAAAGATCAAGGTTTTGGGACAAAAAGAACATAAATCTAAGCTTAACCAAGATCTATCAAAACAATCATCAAGATTTGAATTTTATACCTCCTGAAGATGCATAAAGATGAGAAGAATCTGGATCCAAAGGATTGAGAGCAACACCACAACTCCAAAGGTCTTCCTTCACCACCAAGAACACCAAAAAGTCACTATAAAGCTTCAAAACTCACACACAAGGATTAGGGTTTCAAGATGGAGGCTAGAGGTAAGAAAGGGGTTAAGGCCATAAAGCTCTTTAAATAGGGTCCAAACCCTAAAAGTTAGGGTTTGCCCTCTGCATGAGTACGCCCATCGTAGCGAGGGAATCCGCGTCCAACTTTAAGGACCTACACCCGACGTACCCCTCGTACACCCAACGTAGGGACCAAATTTGCAATCTTTTAGGGAATCAATGCTAAAATAAAAATACTTGGAACACTGGCGTTACAATATAGCCTAGCCTATAGCTATGTATATCCTTCTTACCTCGAACCAAGTATATATCGAACAAGATATATACCAAACCAGGCATATACCAAACGAGGTACATATCGGACCAAGCACATACCGAACCATAGGAGATAACGAACAAAGTATGAGGATACGTCACAACAGTATCATAGTACATAGGAACTCACAGAAAACAACATTTGCTTATGTTTGACTAATGGGTTCTCAAACCAACAAAGAACAGTTGTTAACCGGCTAACAAGTACACACGGTTGTACCTTTGGGGGTATGACCATTAATGCAATAAGATGACAGACCTGCTCGGTATAGGAAGAGGTTACGGCCTCTCAATGTCGGTTATAAATAAATAACGAAAAAGCATTCTCCAAGGTATGCGCCTTCTACTAGTTGTTCACAATCGATTATACCCTAAATACTTACACTCCCTCGCGATTCGATATATCAATGTTATCATTATAAAACCTTTTCTGACTTTGTCATCGGAGCATTGGCCCGGGATCCCCTCTCGGTCAATCGGCTTAACGAGTTTTTTTGTTGTCTCTAGGTTATCCATATTACTAAGGAAGCAACTACCCTTATAGATGATGGAAGGTGAACTCAGGGACGCATCAGTTCCCATGCACGCCTATTTATCTTGTTGCTGATTGAAAAGACCCAATTAAATGCATCAAACTTGAAAATTAGGCATCTTTGGCTCTTCCTCTTGCCTTGTGACGCCAATTCCAATACCAAACATTTCCACCACAATGTTCTTTAATACAACGTTTTTTGGCCCCCACGACAGGACCTTATCAGTTGAGGAGTGAACTTCCACACATGAGGTCCAATGTTCAAACATTGGCACACCTAAAATATCGTTGATGTTCCGCAATTGACATCTCACGTAGATCTTGGAGCGGATGAACGTGGACCGCTCAGATATACAGTTTACCATTTATTTAATACACCAGTTTTTGTCTCTTTCCAAAAATAATCTATGAAACCGATTCACAAGAGAATTATTTTGAATCCAAACATCCTTCTAAAAAGGAGCCATCCCCTGCTCATTTTTTAAGAGTAGAAAAGAGAATACTTGAAAGTTGATTGGTAGAACCAACTATTTTAAAGCACATTCTATTAGAGTTAAGAACCACTCTTAAGGATCCTAATCCACCATCACCAGCATTTTAGAGGTATAATATATACAAGAGAATCCAAGATAAATTTTAACAAAATAGATTGACCACCAATAGAAAACATTTTTTTTTATACTTAGATAATTTATTCTAGAATCTAGTGACAATCATCTTCCACCCTTAAATGCAGGGCCGGTCCTGAGGATTTAAATGCCCAGGACGAGCCGGAAAAAAAAGGCCCTTAGGCCTTAACATGTAACAAAATTAAATTACATAAACTATTTTTTTTTAACGAAAAGAATCCCATTCTTTGCAATACTTAGTCATGGGTTACATTTATATACTACTTCAAGTAACAAGCTAGATCATACTATTTTAAATGTAAGGGTAGTTACAAAATAACAAGTCCAAAAAAACAAAATTGTACCTCATAATGTCTTGATTTGTGCCTCAAATTCCTGAAGCCTCTTCATCTCTGCTTTGTATTGTTCAATTTCAATACAAAATGATTTAGAATTTTAAACACAAATGGAACATCTGTTAATAAAATCAAATTTTCAAAGAAGTGCTCAATTACAAACCCCAGAATTTAGACGTCCTATTACAAAGAATAATCAATAAACACAAATAAATTATTTGATTGATTCGTTGTAATTGATTAACACCCAATATTCAAGATAGGCAAAAAGAAAAACAAGGGAGCAAAGAGGAATTCATACCTGCTTATATCTTCTTCGAGTATGCTCCAGTACTCCACCTGAAAGGCTTAAAAAAAATTACACAAATATAAGCTAAAACATAACCACTTTATTATGGATGAAAATCATTCAAAAAAAAACTAAAGGTACCTACAAAATATTAAAGAAATAAATTAAAAGTTCACTGCTAATGATTCCAGTTCAGCTTATTTAGTATGCTCAAACAAGAACAAATCTCATAGACCTTTGAAAGGAAACAAAACCTAGCTGCTTTCGTTCCCATTACCTTGCACATGGCCGGTGTTGAATCAGTGATGATAACCGATTACTAATAAAATTATAAACTGATAATGATTGATTCAAATGATAGAATGAGTAATCCACCGCAAACCCTTCACCCTCGTTGTACGCGATTCGCTCCGGTTCTACTGCTATTTGCAACGATGCTGAATACACTATCACAAAAAAATTAGGCCCCTTAAAATAATGGGCCCTGTACACATGCCCATATTGCACATGCTCATCACCGGCCATGCTTAAATGCATGACATATTTGATCCAACCGGAAGTCCCTCCAAATTACAATTAGTAATCAACGCCAACCGTTAGACACCACTCCCATATAATTTAGATTTTTGAAGATTAATCTACAAACCCAAAGTTAGAAAAAGCAAGAAAACCCGAATAATATTGAATATATATTCTCATACCACTCCTCAAAAAATAAGACATCATATGCATAATATAAGTGAAAGACTATAATACCTTTCTCTCCCACTTTAGCACCACGATATAATTGAGCCACAACCGAGTCTTTAATAGTCATGTATAATCCTTCCATTACCAGGATAAACAATAAAGGAGATAATTGGTATGTGACTATGTGAGTATGTCGCCTCAGAGTGAATTCAAAATACCATTTATTAAAGTTGACGAACAGACGGCTGCAAATATGGAATTTACTAATAATGGGACAAACGAGAATGCTAGAAAAATTACAATAAAAAAAGAAAAGGTAAACCAGTTGAATGTTAATGGTTTTAATTTCGTAAATCGTTTTATATTAAAACATAGATTGTAAGTGTAATATGTAATAACATAACTTTATAATACATTACTTATATATGATGCTAAAAAACTGAAAAATATTGAGAGCTGTAGGATGGTAGCGCAACTAAAAGTCTAAAAATAATCCATTCTGACCCTTAAACAACCATTCGATGCATGCATTTTGTGTATCTGATCCACTTTTTTTTTTTTTTTCCTAATCACGAAACACACCTGTTACATTTATAAGAAATATAACATTTTTTTTTTAAATATTAGTTTGTCTTTCAAAACCAGTTTTTTATTTTCTTTTGATAGATTTTCATCTTAATTTATTTTTTACCTATCAATAATAATTATTTAATATTAGCAACTAAATTTGATTTCCTGCCAAAAAAAAGTATTTTTTTCTCGTTAAAGATACATTTGACGAGTCATACAGTTTTGTAGTAATTAAGCCATACATCAGTTGAAGATACGAGTTGTGTTATATGGTATACCTACAAATACATCTATAGTTTATACATTAGAACATTTTTTTCAAAAGCAGTACACAATTCAAGTACATATGAATTCAGAACCCAAGAGCTTAAGACAAAATAAACAAACCAAACGAACTAATTAACTACCAACAGGATAAAGTTACATTGCAAATAAACCATTATACTACATAATCTTGATTAACTTAATTAATCTACCGAATTAGTTCTCAAAGCATAGCATTTAACATCTCATTCCATATATCAGGAACCCCAGGCAAGCACCAGTGGCTACAATCAGCCGAACCATGGTCTGACCCACCAGATTGTGCAAAATAAACCGATGGGTGTCCATCTCTTCTTAGAGCCGACATCCCGGTTATATCTTCCAAATAAACCGGAAATCTCATTCTTTTAATCACACCTTTAAGCACCATCACCTCTTCTGGTACATGAGGGTGACTAGCATACCCCAATGGCTCCCTTTGCTTGTAGCACTTCCATCCATTGTCTCTGTACGTACAACTTTCAATGTGTAAGGTACAACTTCTTATGCACATAGTACAACTACCAGTGTACTTACCTGTTGTGGCGAGGTGACATGGTCCGGAATATGACCCGGGATTGACGTGGGTCGAGGTTCAAATCGACCCATTTTGCCCATGTTCGGAGCCCTCTTTGGTATGCAACCATTCGGTTCATGTTTTGGGCTACGTGGTTCCCGTCCATTAGTAGGTCCCACCTGAAAATGTCGATCGGATCAAGGGATTGTACTGTACAAGTAATTAATGGACTGACTACTTGTTTCTTTTCTTACGATGTCCGCTTGTCGGAGTGGGTCCACCAGTGTGCCGAATCAAAGACCAACACGTCAGCAGCTCTCCAGTACTTGGCATTCTCTTCTATCAAATCCAAATGTAAAATCCTCTTGTTTCCAAGCCCTTTCTTCAATTCAACCAAAAGTGGTGCCCAACAAAATTCAATTGAAGTCTCAAAATCCTGTACAAGCAATCAAACTTCATTTTCTTAAATATATTTAAAATTCTTTTATCGAGATATCATTTAACATCTGAAAATATAGTCTTACCAAACATTAAATTACAATAAATTTAAAAAATAAGTTGGTTTATGCGCGCTAAAAGAGGGTCTTAATACAAAAAACCAAAGAAAAATGGTCTCACCAAGGCATGGAAGGCCATGGTAGGGCCCGCATAGGTGACCGTTTTGCGATCGGTGGGCACAACAGATTCAACTAAGCAAACAAGAGACTCCCATTGGTTTCTCATTATGGAATCGCCTACTAGCATTATTCTTTTCCTTCTCATTTTTCCAAGAAACTCCAATGCATCAAATCTGAAATGATGGATTCAATCACTTTAACTATAATGTATAAATTTAGAGCAATTTTTAAAATACATTATATACATACCTAGGAATGTTGCAACCATGAGGTTTCCATCTCCATTTCTCATAATCAGAATCTGGCCTCCCGTTTTTTTGACAAGTAACTTTGGTACTAAGATACGGGCAAGTGGATGCATCGTAAAGCGGATATGTCTGATCATACACCCATTTTCCAGATACAAAATCGCATTTTCTTAGTGAATCATGGCGACTTTGGACCATGTTGATCTCTTCATCGTTGTTATCATCCAGCCATGATAACTCCTCGATCTCAAGTTGTGATGAATTAAAGAGGCTGAGGAGTAATGAGAAGAAGGTAAGGAACGACAAAAGCATGGAGGAAGAAGCCATGAAGGTTAAAAGCAGGGAACAAATGGAATGGTGGTGATTGTATATAGAATAGAGTGGCAACAGAATATTTGCAGGTGGGGACACTTTGTAATAAGTAATGTTCAATTTAGGCATGACATGCGGTGGTGAATTGGATTCACAGTTTTACCATAAATTAGTACATTTTTTTTCACTCGTTAATTATTCTTTTATTTTTTAAGAATTATTTAGGTATTATGAGAAAAGACTGTCACATTTGAAAAAAAAAATGATGAAAATTAAAGCTTGTGATCTACTAGAGAAATTTCATTTAGTTTTTATAATAATCCGTTATTTATGTGTTAAAGTTAAAAAAAAACACTTATATAAATATGACCATAATGAATAATTAAAGAGTGAAAATTTATTTATCAGGGTAGTTACCTTTTTGTTTTGTACGCACATGGGTAATTTTTTTTTTTGTATACATCTAAGTAACAGACTTTTTGGAAATGTTTACATATGACCATAATGATCAGCTGTAGCAAGTTACAACCGATCATAGTGGTCATATATAAATACTTCCAATAAGTTTGTTATCTAGATGTGTAAAAAAAAAAGGTTACACAGATATGACAAAACAAAAAGGTAATGAAGAAACTATTCTTTTGATTTTTTAAAAATTATTTAGGTATTCACATTTGAAAAATGAAAAAAAAAATGATGAAAACTAAAGCTTGTGATCTAATGGAGAAATTTCATTTAGTTTTTATAATAATTCGTTATTTATGTGTTATAGTTTAAAAAAAACACTTATATAATTTGACCATAATGATTAATTAACGAGTGAAAATTGATTTATTAGGGTAGTTATCTTTTCGTTTTGTACGCATCTGAGTATTTTTTTTTTTTGTACACATCTAGGTAATAGACTTTTTGGAGTGTTTACATATAATCGACTATAGCAAGTTACAATCGATCATAGTGGTCATATATAAACACTTTCAATAAGTTCGTTATCTAGATATGTACAAAAATAAAAAAGTTACACAGATATAACAAAACGAAAAGGTAATGGAGAAATTATTCTTTTGATTTTTTAAAAATTATTTAGGTATTATGAGAAAAGACTGTCACATTTGAAAAATGAAAACTAAAGCTTGTGATCTAATGGAGAAATTTCATTTAGTTTTTATAATAATTCGTTATTTATGAGTTAAAGTTTAAAAAAAAAATAAACAAAAATACCTTATATAATATGTCATATGCCATGACGTTTACTAAGTCAAAGTTCTTTATTGGGAAATGAACTTATCATGATAGTTACCTTACCTTTTTGTTTTGTTGATTTCTATGTAATTTTTTTTACACGTCTAGGTAACATATTTCTTAAAAATATTTATATATGACAATTATGATCGGCTGTAACAAGTTACAACCGATCATAGTGGTCATATATTAACACTTCGAATAAGTTCATTATCTAGATGTATACAAATATAAAAAAGTTACCTAGATGTGACAAAACGAAAAAGTAATTACTCTGATAAATCAATTTTCTTTTTTTTATTAAGGCGTCGATCATAATGTTTGCAATATTAATATATTCAGTTAAATTTCTTTAAAACATATTTATGATTATTTATGAGCATTTAATTGGTCACGACATGTTGGAAGCCATTTTTGGTTGCATAATTATCAAATATCTCTCTATATATACGAGACAAAAGCAATGTTATCGACGTAGATAAAAGATACTTCTATTTTTTGTATTTTAAATTCATGTAATACATTGAGCAAATTTCATTGAAAATGATGTTCTTATTCATGTTATTGGTCCTCATTTTTTAGTCTCTATTAATTTTAATATCTTAAATAATAAGATTCTATGAAATGATGATGTGTTTTTTTCCTTGTCAAATTGGAGGGTTTTATTATTATTATTATTTTACCAAAGTAGTGTATTAAAAAAAAATATTTACTATTTAGGTTAATTTTATACCAAATCAAATTAGAAAGTAAAACACAAAAAAGTGAAATTGAATTATCAGGGCAATTGTGACATCTTCTATTTTTCAGAACAATAAATAAATAAATAAATAAATAAAACTTTTCTTTACGCTTTAGAATCATAGTATTTTTTACGGAAAACCCCAATATAATAAAACATTTTGTGGAAACTGTTTCGTTTTATTAAAAATATTTTTGAGTAAACATGTTGTTTCTAATACAAAAACTTCAAGTATGTCATAATCAATACATAACATTGTTACAACGTAAAGTGTAACATCCAGATTCTCAGGTATGTTATGTTAATCATTTATTTTTGAGGTTCATTGATCTACTCGACGAGTTGGTGCTATAACTCGCCGAGTAGAAGCAGGGTGGCCACGTGTGTTTAATGATCTACTCGACGAGTCCGAGAGTAGACTCGTCGAGTAGGCGCTGTGAGTGAAAACCCTAGATCCCCGGGTTTGGGACCTATTTAAAGGCACTTATAGCCTCCTTATGCGGCCACACTTCACAGAGAGAGACCCTAAACTTACCCATTCGTTGTTTAGAGAGAGAGAGAGACCAAATTGAGCATTCTTGTGCATTTTTGGAGGAGGATTTGAGGAGCTTTGTGGATCTCATCAAGGAGAGGCGGTGGATCTAGTGTTCTTCTAGCATTAGCATCTGTACAGAGGTAAAAAGCTCTCATCTTGGCCACATATTTTGTTAGATCTCATTTTTGGGAGTTTTTAGGGTTTTCTTCCAATCATATTGTGTCCTTGAGTTATTTGAGCATGGTTTGAGGTTAGGACCTCAGATATGGACTATAGGACGCCTTGAGAACCCAAAGATCCAAGCTTTATTGAGCTAGAGGCAAGCTCATGTGCATTCAACCTTCTTTGGAGCTTGTAATAGCATATTGGAGCAAATATGCCATGCAAGAATGTAAAGATCGAAGCTTTGCGTGACAGTCGAGCCTAGGGAGTCTAGATCTAGAGTTTGGAATGATAGATCTACCCTAAAACGTCTGAATGGGAGTATAGACTGGATGCACTCGCCGAGTCTATGAACCGACTCGACGAGTCGCTTAGGGTTTATCCCGATAAGTCTGCGCACGCCATAACTCGACGAGTTGCCGGGTCTACTCGACGAGTAGAGTTGGTTTTCATAAGGTCTCCGAAGGAAATAGGGGACTCAACGAGTCTTCTCGATGCACTCGACGAGTTGAGTCAACATGGACTCAAGGTTGACTTTTGTTGACTTTCAGAGTTTTGACCAAATATGAGTAATTGAGACCATGGAGGGGAAGAAGGGTCTTTTGCCCTTACCAAGAGTTAAAGAGGGGTCAGTATGATTTTATTAGTATTATGGTCTAATTAGAGATAATTATCACATGTATTAGGCGAAGACTAGATTGGTGATTCGTGTACGAGGTGTATTAGCTTGCTCGCTTCGAGGTGAGTCTTCTCATTATACTTTACATAGAGTGGTATATATCTGTGACCAGAGGGTTTTATTTGTTTATTTGAGTACTGTGATATTACTGCATTATGTTTGTGTGATTTATGCTACGTGTTCTTCATAGTTTACAGAGTTAGGACCAGAGGGTCCATAGAGATAGGACCAGAGGGTCCACAGAGTTAAGACCGGAAGGTCCATCAGAGTTGTGGGACTGGAGGGTCCCACTGAGACACATTGACCTGAGGATCTTACAGAGTTATAGCCTCGAGTGGCTAATGTGTTGTATGTGGTATTTTGGGGAACTCACTAAGCTTCGTGCTTACCGTGTTATGTGTTATGTGTTTCAGGTACTTCTGATGATCGCGGGAAGGCCCCGGCTTGATTGTACACACACTCGCTTTGGGGATATACTTTGGAGGATCCTGGTTTATGTGATAAACAACTTTTGATAAATAAATTGTACTAAAACTGATACTTGAGATTTTTGGGAGATATGACATGTGATTTTTATGCTTGAAAATTTTACGTTGTTACAAGTTGGTATCAGAGTCTTGGTTTGAGGGATTCGGATGCACCTTCGGGTATGTCTGGACTCAAACTAAGGATTTGAGAAAAAATTTCAAAAGAAAACAATTTCTTCTAAAAATGAGCAAAAGTTCTAAGAGAATAACGAGAAAGAGCAGTGTGTACAATCAGCCAGAGCCCAAACGACGATTTCCCAAAATACCCTTACTTTCTGTGTTATGAGATATTTATGAGATATATTTATGCATGCTAGAGAGTAGGCTAGGTACTTCATATTTTAGGACTAGAGTGGCCTGATCTATGATGCTTTAGCCTAGGAGTTACTGCTACCTGTGATTTGCTTTAAGAAGAGTATGTAGCAGATGCGGTGTGGAAGGTAGTATTGGGCCCGTACTACTGGAAGCACCGGGTCGGTGAGCAGTCCAAGTAAGAATCCTTGGGACGCTAAGGAACAAGTAGGGGAGTGATCGAGTGTGTGAGTATACTCGAGCGAGTCTCTGACTATTTTATGTTATATTTCAGAGACATCATGGTCGGTATGCGCCACAACCCAGGGGGCAGTGGTACCAGTGACGATGAGATTCGGAGGATGATTCATGAGGAGGTAGCCGCAGCCATCCGAGCAGAGATTCCCGAGATGTTTGGGTCTATCAAGACCACCCTGATTGAGACATTTGATGAGCGATACGCTGCTGTCACTCAGGCTGCTGCTGCTGCCACCACTGCAGCTGTCGCTGCTGCTAGGCCACAGGGAGGTGACTCGTTGTTGTTCCGGGAGTTCAGCAACACGAAGCCACCAGATTTTCATGGGACGCAGGATCTGATTACTGCGATGAGATGGATTTATGATATCGAGGGGTGTTTCTACACTTGTTCTTGTCCAGAGCAGTTGAGGGTATGGTTCGCGCTGAACCAGCTTCGCTTGGGAGCAAAGGATTGGTGGAAGTTTGTGACAGCTCATTTTACTCCTGCAGAGCACACTGTCGTGACTTGGGAGAGGTTTACTACGATGTTCAGAGATGAGTATGTTCCCCGGTGGAGAGGGAACGGTTGGCCTAGGAGTTCATG